TACAATACAGATACAGGTATGGTGTTTTAAATAAAACTATCTTTTCGGATTTTGTCGCGGATTTATTTGCATTTTTGTTTCCCGACGTTTCGAATGCTTTACAGCATCCATGGTCACGGGAGAGACTGAGGTGTTACATGTCTTGGAGGTATAGTTGATACAGACATGTAACAACTATACCTCCTGCTGTAAAGCATTCGAAACGTCGGGAAACAAAAATGCAAATAAATCCGCGACAAAATCCGAAAAGATAGTTTTATTTAAAATGTCAAATATTCGCGTAAATCTAAGAAAGTATTACAGGTATGGTGTGTAAAGTTTTGCGAAATTATGAAATATTTTTTAAAAATATAGACTGTCACGTATTGTAAACAGAATATAGGCCCCGAAGCAAAAGTTATTGATTTTTTTTGTCTGTATGTCTGTTTATGTTTGCGCGTTTCACGCAAAAAGTACTAATCCGAGTTTTACTGAATTTTGTGTAGTGATAACTCTAGTCAACATTTAGGATAGCTTTAACTGCAGGAAAATCTTTCATTTACACGGGAAAATCTAACATTGTATCATCCTTAATTTGTATGGCTAACTAAGACAACTCCCCGTCCAAAAAAATTTCAATTAGAAATCGAATTTTGTCTACACAGAATACACATAAATAAAATTAAAGTGTCTGTTTGAAATGTCAAAATAATAGCTTTTTTACTAAATGCATATGAAATTTATATACGGTAATTATAAGAAAAACACAATTTTTAAAATTTTTGTCTGTCTGTTTGTTCCGGCTAATCTCCGAAACGGCTGGGCCGCTTTTGAGAGACTTTCACTGACGGATAAATGATGTTATAAGGAATAACTTAGGCTACTTTTATTTCAGTAAAAGAGTTAGGGTTCTGCTCAAAAAAATTAAAATGCACTAGGGACGAACCCGAGCGAAGCGAGGGTGAATCGCTAGTTATGAGGTAAGGTAGTAAGAGGAAACAAAATTAAAATCGATATTTATTTAGTTATATATTCGAAATCATAAAAATGCACCAAAATAACATTAATTCAAATTTTTCCAAAAAGCAATATTGCCATATAAAAATATTACCTATTTCCGCTTTAACTGTCAGCATAGATTATATCAATAAATTTTTATTTTAGTAACATAAAAATAAAATTTTATTTTATAAAATTTAAAATTTTATTAATAAATCCTATCACTATTTTTAAAATAAGGACCTATTTATTTATTTTCGAATAAGTAATGTTATACAGTACGCTTGTATATTTTGATGCAATCGTAAGAAAACCAATTTTATGAAAACATTTAGCACGGTATCACGAGCTCTCAGATTGCTGTGCCAGCGTTCGCGGGTTCGAGTCCCGCTGGGGGCATTCATTTGTGTGATGAGCACGCATGTTTGTACTCCAGTCATGAACGTTTATATTTATAACATGTATGTATTTAAAGCTATATATATTTAGTGTATCAACTACCTGGTATTCATAACACAAGCCTCGTAGCTTACCATGAAAGTAGATGGTGTTGTTTGTTAATGTCTCAACATATTTATTTATTTATAAATAGCCTACAAGGCTCTATTTTTTGGATTAATATAGAATTTCTGCGACACTACTCTCTTATGCGTTTAGTAAGTCTCTGGCGGTGAAGTAAATTATGAAAACAGGCTTTTGGCTGTTTACACACGATAAAATACGAAGACAACCTAAAAAAAAAAATCCTTTCCCAAGGTCATACGAGACAAAGGGATGTTTGGTTCGTGCCGAATTTATAACTCGAGAGGAAGTCAAGGGATGAAAACAAAACTGATTCTGCGACATCGAGAGGGAAGTTTCCGTTAGACTTTAATGCATAGTACTGGCTTTTTTTCCTATGTTAAAAAAGATTGTATACCACGAACTATATCCATACTAATATTATAAACGTGAAAGTGTGTTTGTTTTTTTGTTTGTCCTTCTTTCACGTCGAAACAGAGTGACAGATTTTCGTGATATTTTGTCTGAAGATAGTTGGAGGGCTGGAGAGTGACATAGGCTACTTTTTACCGCGGGAGATTATCTCATTCCCACGGGAAAACACGTTTTAATACAACCCACAATAACTCATCATACCTACGTATATATATAATGTATAATCTATCTATTCCATACTAACCGTTAAAACGTACCGTCGCGTCGCTAGAAATAATATAAATAATTAAAAAAACAAAAACAATTTTAAATATGATGTAAAGCATTCGATATATCTTTATATTCTTATAGAAATCGGGAACCAAAAATCAAAATAAATCCGCGAAATAATCCGAAAAGATAGTTTTATTTAAAAAAAAAGGTATTATGAAAACAAAAACAATTATTACTATCTCATCTTTATAATTATACGGACCTTCAATAACAGTTTTCGCACTGAAATGACCGCAATGCGTGATAAAATTTAATATACGTCCGACCACAGAGCGACACCGATACCTATCAATAGATTGTATCAAGGCTTATAACACAATACTAGCTATATACCCCCGCTTCGTCCACACATTTGGCAGATTTTTGAACTAAAAGTAGCCTATGTGTTACTCCAGGATTCTCTCCGTCCGGCAATCTAGCCGGGCGTGAAGCCAAAAAGGTTTGGAGGGACTTGGGGGTTTGACGACACGTTTGGCTCAGTTGGTAGTGACCCAATTTGCTGTTCCAGCGGTTCCGGGTTCGAGTACCGCTGGGGCACTCATTTGTGTGATATATATATGTGTAGTTTATCAACTATCTGGTATCCATAACACAAGCCTCGTAGCTTACCACGGAAGTAGATGGTGATGTGTGTTAGTGCCCCAACATTTATGTTTATATTTATTTTGGGGGTGTTTACTCCATTAATATATACATATAAATAAAATTGTAGTGTCTGTCTGATATATCAAAATAACTATGTTTATCTCAAGTACATACTTTAATTATATGATAGCAGTTCATAAACAAAACAATCTTTTTTATTTTTTTTTGTCTGTCTGCCTGTCCTCTTGTTGTTCCTGGGTAATCTACGGAACGGCTAAATCAATTGTAATGGCAGTTTTACTGAAAGATAGAGGAATTTGAAGGACTACGAAATCTTACCAAATCGTTAATTTCACAATTGTTTTAATGTATACAAAGTTAATACCTCAAGCCCGACCTCTTATTAAATATCCAAAAAAGACCATTTTGGCACTTAATTTCTTGACAAACATAAAAAAACTTACTGTTTTTTAACCAGAGCGGGACTCGAACCCAGTATATTTTGCTGCAATCATATAAGCTATCAATTGAAGTTTACATTAAAATACTAGAATGATTCTAGCGCAGTAGGTAGCTCTCGTACACAGAAATCTTAATAATATACCTTATTATTAAGATTTCTGTGCTCTCGTGCGATAGTCAACAGCTGTGACGTGTTCCGACTGCCGCACTAGCACGCTACACTTATGTAGGTTAAAAAATTATAACACTCAAGAGCATTCATTTAAAATTTAAGAGATAAGAAAATATAAAGTGGAATTTTAAATAAAACTATTTTTTTTTTCGCGGATTTATTTCGATTTTTGGTTCCCGACGCTTCGAATGTTTTACAGCAATCACGATCGCATTTATTCCGCGAATCCGCAAAATAAACCAAAAAGATACCTAGTTTGGTATAAAAAGTCAAACATTCGCGTAAATCTAAGAAAGTATAATTTTAAGTAATAGACAAAACAAAATAATCACCTATACTAATATTATAAAGAGGTAAGGTTTGTGAGTTTGTGACGTTGTAGGGGGTGATCTCTGGAGCTAAAGAACCGATTTAGATGAAATTTGATAAAAAGATAGTTTGAGACCCTGGGAAGGCTATAGGATGCTTTTTATCTCGGAAATTATCCCTTAAGGGGGTGAAAATGGGGATGAAAGATTGTATGGGGAATCAAGCTAGGGACGAACCAGAGCGAAGCGAGGGTGATTCGCTAGTAATTAATAAAGTAAAAAAAGGCTTAAAAAGAGGAAAATCAACATTTTTCTAGTCAATCAAATAAATTAATCATAATAAGCTATGCATATAACGTTGTCTTTTACAAATTATCAAACAAACCTATACGGAAAAGCCCAACGTTGTTATCTTAATGAAACAATTCGAGAAACGAATTGATCAGTGACCATTCATATACATATAATAAAATTCTAACTGAGTCGAATCTATACACTAATTAATATCTTTGAAAAATCTTATTGAATTCGTCGTTATATCGATACAGAGGCCGAATCTATAGTTTTTAAAATTGTTGTCTGTCTGTCTGTCTGGGAACGCATTACGAGAGAACCACTGGACAGATTTTGATGAAATTCGGTATGATGATAGTTGGTTATCCGGTTCAGCATATATTATACTTTTTACTGCAGGTAAATATCTCATCTATGAGAAATCTACTCCAACTCATAGTCTATCTGTGCACTATTTCATCCAAATCCGTCCCAGCAGTTTCAGCGTGAAGACGTAACAAACATACACACATAAAAACTTTCACATTTACAATAGTAGTACGATATAGTATTACAAATAGACTGTATACTGTAATACTATTGTAGGCTACAAAGTAATAACCCGGAGGTCTTGGGTTTGAACTCCGGGTACCGGGCCAAGTTTGTTCAGAGTTTTTCTATAAGGTATTATCAGTAACCGGATGGGAAGTTGGCGGTGTCTCACCCCCGTGCCTCGGAGAGCACGTAAAGCCGTTGTTCCTGCGCAGACACTCTCACTGGTCGTGTCGAGCAGTCGTCCTACCAGAGTATGAGAGTGACAGGAATAGAGAATGCACTGTGCCTGCACCATAGTGTATAATATCTCCTGCTTTCGGCTAGTCTCAGTGAGATTGGCCGCCGTAGCCGAAATGGCTCAGAAGGGCATTATTATTATAGTACGATATTAGAAAATTTCCCATTAAGTAAGAGAAAATCGTTTATTAAAACCCACAGTATACAAATAAAAAGTATTATTTCTTCTGCAAATTCTCCTTCAACGTTGACACTGCAGCAACCACTGCGTTCAAAAACTTAGGACCCTCCGCCGCTAGAGTGTTGGCGAACTCCTCCATAGTTTTTTTCTGTTCCAAAGCTAATTTTCCAATCGCTTCTCTAAATTTGGCAATTTCAACATTTTTCGCGTCGGCCACATCGGAAAATAGTTTACGTGCATTCTCCTCTGTCACCTTTACACCATCTATGATTTTGCCTGAAAATTGGTTTAGACTTAAGTTTTTCTACAATCTAAATTCTTATTTTAAGCCCACGACGCAAAAAGAGAAGTGTTATAAGTTTAACGTGTATCTGTGTGTCGTATGTGGTATCGTAGTGCCCAAACGGGTGAACCGATTTTTATTTAGTTTTTTTTGTTTTAAAGGTCACTTGACTTGGTCGATAGTGTTCTTAGCTATAAATCAAGAAAATCCTTTCAGCCCTTTCTAAGCTATCAGCTCTTATCTAGACGGTAGGATATGAAAAACTTCCACACATCTAACCCGTTCGAAACTTGATATCCCGTTACTTTAATGACATTGCAACGATATTGAAACCTTGGTTTGATGCTGCAGCGTCACCTGGAACTCCTTATTAAATTTTGTGTCATACGTGTTATGTGTATATTTGTGAATATGTCTGTGGCATTGTAGCATTAAAATACCAAATTTCAAGAAATTCTGATCATACATAATTTCTGTGGGAATGAGATAATCTCCCGCGGTAAAAAGTAGCCTATGTCACTCTCCAGCCCTCGAACTATCTCCACATAAAAAATCACGCGAATCATCTCAATAAAGGACAAACAAACAAACACACTTTCACATTTATAATACATATTATATTAGTAAGTATGGACTCCACTTACTATCCTTCATCCACGCTATGAGGTTGTCGACGGTATTTTGGTTTTGTTTTTTGAGATTATTAAATGCATCATCCATATTGAATTTGTGTATAATTGTTACAAAAACTTAAAAAAATACTTTTCCCGATAAAATTTTGATTTTTAACAAAGACTAGATTTCTGTAAATGACACAATAAAATACTTGTCAATTTTTTTTTTAATAAAATATTAATATAATTACTTATTAAAATATTATTTTTAAATTAAATAAACAGTATTATTTTTGTATTTAAAAAAAAATAAAAAAAATTATTACTAATGAATGCAAGTAAAATATAATTTTGTTTCTTTAAAATCTAGTTGGTACATAATACCATAGTGATTATAATTTTTTTTAAATAGCTTCTGTCTATGAAATAATTCTGTGTGCAATAAAAAAACTCAGATTTAAATAATGGTCAAATAAGTTATAGTCGCAAAATATTATTTCCGTAACTCTTAATTGTTATGTATAAATATAATTGGACGACTTTAAAATGATATTTTAGCTTTTAATACGTAGTTGTATTTTTTTAATTTGTTATCTGTTTCTGTTACTAAAGAAATAAAATAAATAAATGTTTTGTTTTATTAGTATAAAAAAATGAGTACGTGATACGTTAAATTAATTGGCATAGAACTTTTGTTTATGGCAACCTTGACCGATCATGCCTGTTTTGTAGGTTGCTCCTGTAGACAGATCATTCATTTATAGTTTTAGTTCCATGTTATAGCTGCAAAATTCCAAAATTACCTCTCAAACTCATTTGTATCTTCCTCACAATACGTGACACTGGCAGTATGTATTGCTACTGTTAACGCAACTCGAAACCACTAAGAAAAAAAAAGATAAGCATGATATTAAAAAAAAGCGGTAAATTTGGTGTTTCCCGCGCTTAAACCAACTGTGTGGTGGTGACTAATATTTATCTATCCATACCTATAATAAAATTCTAACTAAGTCAAATCTGTACATTAAATATTTTTTGGGAAAATCTTATTGAAAATCTTATAGTATCCGATAAAGAGGCCGAATCTATAGTTTTTAGAATTTTTGTCTGTCATTCTGTGTCTGGGAAAGCATAGTGAGAAAACCACTTCACAGATTTTGATGAAATTTGGTATGATGATAGCTGGTTATCCGGGTTAACATATAGGATAGTTACTACCGCGGGAAGTATCTCATCTCTGAGAAATCTATACTAAACGTTAGAACGCAACTAGGGACGAATCCGAGCGGAACGAGGTTGAGTCGCTATATTGTTAAATAATAGATAAGGTTTTAAAATTGTTATATGTCAAAATTAAATAACCAATATGCAGGATAATGGATACAGTTACTCCGAATGTGTAATGGTTGTGTAATGTAGGATACATACTAATTCTAGAGTAAGTAGATCAATTTATATCTATACATATAATAAAATTGTAACTAAGCCGAATCTGTACATTAAATATTTTTTGGAAAATCTTATTGAAATAAACATTGTTATCGATACAGAGGCCGAATCCATAATTTTTAGAATTTTTGTCTGTCTGTCTGTCTGTCTGTTACCGCATCACGAGAAAACCACTGGACAGATTTTGATGAAATTTGGTATGGTGATAGCTAGTTATCCGGGTCAACATAATTCATTAAACATTCTGAGAAAAAATACAAAAACTGCAATGTAAGAGTATACTAATATGTAAAACCTAAGAATTTGGTTTTTGGTCATCCGAACGCGGGCGGAGCCGCGGGCAATGCTAGTATATTATAAAAATAAAAAGCCCGACTGCATAAAAGCTAACTAAAAAGATGAAAACAAGTTGACGAAGGAATAAAGTTTAATGCCATCGGATATATATACATAATATTATCTATGTACATCTCGTGGCAAGAATGAAACGTGTATGTCTCCGAATGCATAATACTATCTAAAATATCTATAAAACAACACATTTATTTATTATCACCTCTTCAATAACACCTCTTCGCTAGTTTAAACTGACTTTGATAAAACTCTTTTATTACATTCAATGGGCCGCCCTTCAATACGAGGGGGATCAGGCCATAGTCCACCACGCTAGACACGTGCGGGTTGGCGGACTTCACATGTCTTTCGAAAACTTTTTAGGTTATCTCAGACATGCAGGTTTCCTCACGATGTTTTTTTTCACCGTAAGACAAGTGGTAATCATGTTGGAAATGATTCGCACATGAAAATATTAGAGATAGACCCGGGATTAGAACCTGCTTCACTCGGTTAACCAAGCGAGCGCGTCACCACTAGGCTACCACTGCCTTAGGCTACATTCACGCATACCACCTGTATAACAGGTGGTAATGTGTAGACTTACCGGCTAGAAAAGCCAGTACTACCCACTAAAACCCAACAGAACTTCCCCCGGCTTAATGGGGTGCCGCAAGACCGGTGACGCACTCGACCACGACGCCGCGACGCGACGGTTGGCCTACCGAGGTAGACCACAGGTACCAAAGGCGTGCTTCTAATAAATCATGCTTGAATCTAATCAAATATTATTGTTGAATCAAAAATTTTATCATCATAACTCAATTCATCGATATCCATACTAATATTATAAATGTGAAAGCGTGTTTGTTTGTTTGTCCTTCTTTCACGTCGAAACGGAGTGACGGAATGGAGTGATTTTTTGTGTGGAGATAGTTGGAGAACTGGAGAGTGATATAGGCTACACTTTAGCGCGACAAATTATCTGATTCCCACGGAAAAACAGGCTTTAATACAACCCAAAAAATATTTATGATCAGAATTACTTAAAACTTGGTATTAATGCTCTTCAATACACTTAAATAAATACTTGTTTTAGCATTTTTCGAAATTTATCCCATAAGAGGGTAAAATAGGGGATGAAAGTTTGTATGAAACCTACCTTTTTAGTTTCTTTTTGTAGTATTAGCGCGAGCGAAGCCGCGGGTTCTGCTAGTAAAATATAAAATAAAAAAAATCATTAATTGCAATAAAAAACCAGTAAAAAGAAACACAATTATTAATCTACCTTAAGGCATGGAGCTTTTTGGATATGAATTTGATGCTGCTAAGATTGAAATCTCGAACAGTGCTGATTTTGAGCGACACCCATTTTACTAGAATATTAAAAAGGAAGTAAGGCAAAAACTGCATTCCTAAAGATAACCTCCGAAGAAATCAAAAAATATATATAAATAAAACATTATAACACTAGCGACTTGCCTCCGCTTCTCTCGGGTATGTCTCCAAGCAAATGGCTTAGAAACACATAAAAGACAAAGGTCGAAAAAAAATCTTTTTTCTGCACCAGGAACCTTCGCAGGCGTATAAAGAATAACCCACCAGAGTTTCATCGGATTGACAAACAGGAGAAAAATGTACTGAATTATGTACTGTTTCGGCTTTATTTATATATAGACTAGCGACTCACCCTTACTTCGCTCGGGTTCGTCCATTTTCACCCCTTTAAGTTTCCGTACTTTAGATTTCCGGGATAATAAGTATCCTATGTCCTTCCTCGGGTCTCAAACTATCTTCTTGCCAAATTTCATCTAAATCGGTTCAGTAGATCCAGAGATTACCTCCAACAACGTCACAAGCTCACAAACTTGACCTCTTTATAATATTAGTATAGATTAGTATTTACAGACAAAAAAACAAATAATTCAGCTTTATATGTTAGTATACAACGTTAAAATAAAATGCTCGCTCGAACCACATCGTCTTCCCGAATTTGAGTTAAAAATACAGTTACAAAGAACAGTTAAAATAAATTGATGTCATTACAAAAAGCTCATACCGGACTTAATCTGTATAAAAATATTATTAATGTGAAAGTTTGTGAGTATGGATGTTTGTTACTCTTTCACGCCAGAACGGCTGAACGGATCTGGATGAAATTTGGCACAGATATAGATTTTAGTCTAGGATGACACATAGGCTACTTTTTACCCCGGAAAAATATACGGTTCCCTAGGGATAGATTCGTTTTTGTTGTTCTAATATTTGCTAGTAAATAATAATTATTATAAATGTGAAAGTTTGTTTGTATGTATGTGTGTTACTCCATCACGCCGTAACAGCTGGACAGATTTAGATGAAATTTTGTACAGAGATAGGAGCTGGAGAAACAAATAGGCACTGTAAAGCATCTCGCGTTACATATTGTAAATATCATCAATTTTTTATATTTTATGTCCATCAAGTTTTCTCCGTCCCTAACTACATATGTATCAATTTATCCAACAACTTTGCTTGTAATTCCTATCTTCTATATATATATATCTATATATATATATATATATATATATATATATTATATATATATATATATATATATATATATAAATAAAAATGAGTGTTCGTATGTTTGTCCTCTATAAGTTCCTAAATGATTAATCCGATTGTGATGAAACTCTGCTGGTTATTCTGTATACGCCTGCGAAGATTTCTGGCGTAAAAAAAATTTAAACGTTTACATTTCCACACCTAACTTTAAATAAAACTACCTTTTGCATATTTTCGCGGATTTATTTTGATTTTTGGTTCCCGACGTTTCGAATGCTTGACAACAATCATGGTCACGGGAGAGACTCTCCCGAAAAGATAGTTTTATTTAAAATGTCAAATATTCGCGTAAATCTAAGTAAGTAATGACTCATTCAACAAGCAAAATAGAAAGTCCTACCTATATCTTTTTATTTTTCTTGGATACATTGAATGAAAATTAATCATTTGTATGTTTTTAATTCAAACTTTTGTTTTGTCGGTTCAAAACCTCATATATCGACGCGTAGTATTCCGTAATGGAAAAATTTACAAATATAAATATATGGAACTCATTCTCAGTAACTAAACAAAACTTGTTTTATTTTATAGTAGCGACTTTTTTCATCTATTTTAAAAATAAAACGTTTGTCTCTGATTTTAAATACATCTATACTAATATTATAAAGAGGAAAGGTTTGTTTGTTTGTTTGTTTGTACCGTATAAACTCCGAAACTACTGGACCGATTTAGACGAAATTTGGTAAGAAGATAGTTCGAGACCCTGGGAAGGACAAAGTATAGTTTTTATCCCGAAAATCATCCTTAAGAGGGTGAAAATGGGGATGAAAGTTTGTATGGTGAATCAACCTAGGGACGATCCCGAGCGAGGGTGAGTCGCTAGTATATAGATAAAATACGTCGGCTTTTTAAAGTAAAATATGTATTTAATACCAATATAATTAACATTTAAAAGTCCAATATTCTGTATAACAAACTCTTTTGGTGAATTGGTGGTTTGAACAAAGACGACAACTTTTGAAGCGTTTGATAGAAAAACCCAATACCTATATTAGTCTTCACCCGAAACTCGAACCCAGGTCCTCTGAATCTACAACCGTACAAGCTAATCACTATACCAACGCGATATATTAAATAGCCTCAAATCCAACATAACTGGATCAAAATCGACACAGCACAAACGTGAATCATCATCGCACGCATCAAACACATAGTGTCACAGGGGGTTTCCCATTTTCACATCGCATATTTGCTATAACATATTATTATTTGCATTTCGCCGTTCATACTTCAGTACGCGCCGTAGCCACATCTTGAGTGGACGTGTTTTCGCGCTTAATTTAATTAGATTTTATACTTATTTTATTTGTGGTTCCTGTGTTTTAAAAAAAAATGAAAGGCCAAAGCAAAAGATTTGTGAACCACAAGGGAAAAGCTTACGACTTGGAAGTCAAAAAGGAGGATAGTGTTGGATTTCTCGATTTGGTACGTTTTTTTATTTTATTTTAATTAGAAAATTTAAAGAAATTACAAATATTAACAGTTTTGTGTTCGATTACTGTTAATCTGTTATTTTTTTTTCACTTTAAATAGTTTGTTTTTAATGCGAAATATATTTTTGTTGATATTAGATTCGTTATGTCTTTAAAATGTAGAGCTTTTGTAGCTAGTTCGATGTTCGATGAGGGATGACAATTTTGTTTTCTATCTATGTATTTCAAATATTAATTTTACAATTTAAATATATAAATTTAAAGCTAAGTAAGTACATATAAGACCTTCTTAGCAAAGTTATTTCCAGAAATATTGACAAACAAATATAATGAATGCGTCGTACTAATTTTAGTGTTGGGTTTGAGACCTGCTAATAGGCTTTTTACATATTTTTAGGTCGTCTAATTCTTACATATATATTTAGAGTTATCACATTAAAGCCCAAAAAAGCTAATCAAAATTCTCTTGATCTCATTTTCAGTTTGTTACTTGTTTTATGTATGTATATTTATTTGGGGCTTATTATGTATTTAGATATGTATACATATGTAGATATTTCCCATGAATAAATTATTAATCAACTAACTGAAACCGCGGCTTCGCTCGCGCTACAACTACAAAAAAAATCTAAAAAGGTAGTTTCATACAAACTTTCATCCCCTATTTTACCCTCTTATAGGATAAATTTCGAAAAATGCTTAAATATGTATTTATTCAATTTTATAGAAAAGCATTAATACCAAATTTCAAGTATGTAATTCTGATCATAAATATTTTTTTGGATCGTATTATAACGTGTTATCCCGTGGGAATTAGATAATCTCCGGCGATAAAAAGTAGCCTATGTCACTCTCCAGCGCTCCAACTATCTCCACACAAAAAATTACGCCAATCTATCCCTCCGTTGCGACGTGAAAGAAGGACAAACAAACAAACTAACAAACACACTTTCACATTTATAACGCGCTCGCTTGGGAAACCGAGTAAAGCGGGTTCAAATCCCGAGTCTCGCACCTTTGATATTTTCATGTGCGAATAATTTTAAACCTAATGTCGATATAATCATTTTTAACATAACATGAACAACCTAGAAAAAACCTAGCAAGTTTTCGATAGACATATATCGCAAAAAGTTTACAAAAGAGTTGCTTCAACTCAACAACTATAAAACCAGTGCAGTAACTAGAATACTTACTGGTCACTGCAAACTCAATAAACATATGTTTACCCTCGGCCTCAGTCAGACCGCAATGTGCAGACTATGCCATGAGACAGAGGAAACTGCTATGCACATCCTCTGCTCGTGCGGTCCACTCATGCACCGCAGAAGTATCTATCTAGGGCAGCATATTATGCAACCGGAAGAGATACAGATGCTCCCCGCTCAGAAAATCTGGAAGTTCCTGGAGTCAACAGGACTAAGCGGAGAACTGTGAACTCACTATAAAGGGAGCTACAATGGACCAAAACTGGTCGACGTAGCTAGGGCCGACCTCGGCACCACACCCAATACTAAATAATAATAAATAATAGACATGCTCAGTCCGCGAAACCGCACTTGGCCAGTGTCGACTACGATGGCCTGTTTCCCCTAGTATTGACAGGAAGCCCGACCCCATCGTATTACGTTAAAAAGAGTTGAATATAACACATACAATTATTTTTATCTAACCCTCTATCATATAGGAAAAGAAAAAAAAATGTTAAATACAATTTTACAATGTAACAACGTAATGTCACCCCAGGACGCCTCTATTTTTTTGGGTTTTAAGAAGTCTAATACATTATTAAATAAAACTATCTTTTCGGATTATTTCGCGGATATATTTGGATTTTTTGTTCCCGACGTTTCGAATGCTTTACAGCAATCATGGTCACGGGAGAGACTGAGGTGTTACATGTCTTGGAGGTATAGTTGTTACAGACAGCCTACCCACAATTAACATTAACAAAATGAAAACTGCACCAATTACATTAATATACCATGGATGCTGTAAAGCATTCGAAACGTCGGGAACCAAAAATCAAAATAAATCCGCGAAATAATCCGAAAAGATAGTTTTATTTAATAATGTCAAACATTCGCGTAAATCTTAGAAAGTATTAAGTCTAATACGTATATTATGACTATAAACTATGTTTAATAAACAAACAAACAAACAGGCCATTTTTGTTTTTGTTACATCATAAGTATTTTCAAAGCGTTAAACAAAGAAAATTAATATAAACTAAGAAAATTAATAATTCATATTATTTTCCATGTCAGAACTGGAATACATATCAAAATCTGTCTAAACCTTCCTCATGAAACACTCTATCTATTGATGAAAACCGTATGAAAATCCGTATGGTAGTTTTTCAGTTTATCGTGTTCAAATTCAGAGACGTGGTCCTGTGACCACGGCTGGTGCAACGTCGAAGGTATTTAGCTACTTACAAATTCACGCGTTTAATGCCCGATTTCACCAACATCCCATAAGCTACCACCTACGTATGGGATCCCTAGCTTTAAAGTTCCCCTAAACTAGCCCCTAAATTAAATTTCGTTTTACGATCGTCTTTAAGCCCATATTTCGAGCACCTAAATTTAGGGGGCCTTTTAATATTTAGGTGACCCCCAACTGTCGGTGAAACAGAAACTGTCCCCTAACAGCCCCCTAACCATGCTTAGGGGATCCCTTAAACTTAGGTGACGTTGGTGAAATCGGGCATAAGTCTCGCAGTCTCATTATTATACGATTATGGAACGCGAAAATTTAAAAAGTTATAAAATAGTCATCGTTAATAGAAATTAAGAAATCTATTTTACAAGAAATTGAGCTGCGATCACAAAGAGCGACAAGCAGACAGACAGAGAATTTCATAACAAACTTTTTTTTTAAATCAAACATATACAATTTAAACCATGTAGAATTTCTTTTTCATACTTTTATTATAAATGTGAAAGTAACTATCTGTTCCTTCTCACGCTTAAACCGCTGAACAGATTTCGATAAAATTTGAAGAACATAGATTGCACCCTGACATCGGATGTAGGCCACCCTTAAACCCCGCTCCGCTTATCTCGCGCATTAGGATCCTCTAGACAAACAAACACAAATTTATCCCACCACAATTTTCGGGATAAAAAATAGCCTATTTATTATTCTGATATATGAACTATATTATCGTAAAGTTTCATTAAAATTCAATCAGTAGTTTTTGTGTACTAGAGCTAGATAGCTAGATTAGGTTCTATAGTTTTTTAACTATCCAACGGGAACTCTTTAATTTGCCGGGATGAAAAGTATCTAAAATGTTGACCGGGGATATAAAGTACCACAATGCAAAATTTCATTTAAATCGGTCCAACACTTTCGGAAATTAGCCCGTACAAACAGACAAACAGACAGAGAAAGAAAAAAATCAAAAAAAAATCCTAGATTTGTTCTATTTGTCTTCTTACATCCCTCTGACTCGGTTTTTAGCATTTTTTTTCTATGTACAGACATTCGATCTCTACAGTTTTATTATATGTTCAGATGTTTCTCCATATGTATTAGTACATAATAGTTTTTCTTAAGATCATAGCCATGGGAAAGACCACCATGATTTTTCCGTTTAAATAATTTATTTATCGAAAAACGATATAGGCTGTATTTTATACTTGAAATTAAAGTGGTTTCGAGAAAAGACAATCTAGACTTATCCAACTTTAGATTGAACTCTCAGCATCATACGACTTAACGAAATGAAGTTTGGGTTGCCAGTTAAAAATAACTGAAAAATTTGTAAATTTTCCAAATGATGATGTTTTAGTGTTTATGTTATTGTTTAACCTTGAAGTATGTTTGCCATAATCGATCACTGGTTGCTTTTTATCAAGCAATTCAGTTTATAACACGGAAGAGAAATCTATACATATAATAAAATTGTAACTAAGTCGAATCTGTACAGTAAATATTTTTTGGAAAATCTTATTGAAATAGACATTATTATCGATACAGAGGCCGAATCTATAGTGTCTGTTACTGCATCACAGAAAAATAACTAAAGGGATTTTGATGAAATTTTGTATGATGTTAGCTGGTTATCCGGGTCAACATATAGGATACTTTTTACCGCGGGAAAATATCTCATTTCTGAGAAAAAATACAAAAACACAAAAACTGCATTGTAAGAGTATACTAATATGTAAAACCTACGAATTTGGTTTTTGGTCATCTGAACGCGGGCGGAGCCGCGGGCAATGCTAGTAATAGTACAACTATAGTTGTAACATGTTTCTAACATCCCACTGCTGGGAGTGGGCCTCTCTCAATACAAGAGATCAGACCGTACTCCACCACGCTGGCCAAGTGCGGGCGGACTGAGCATGTCTTGAAAACTTGCTAGGTTCTCTCAGACATGCAGGTTTCCTCGCGATGTTTTGATTCACCGTAAGACAAGTGGTAATCATGTTGAAAATGATTCGCACAGAGTACATGTTCGAACTTACTTCACAGTATTACGCCAAGTTTTATTAACATTTTTCGAATGCAGAGATAACAAAAAAAAAACAGGTTTCTTCTTGAAACACCATGGTTTTATGAATGTTGTTTATTTATTAGTTGCTAGAATATCCAGCTTTACCGGTTGCTTATAATATTTCTTTAGATTTACGCGAATATTTGACATTTTATTTAAATTGGTCTTTTTTTTCATGAATTTAGTTTGTTTTAGTTTCCGACGTTTGAATGCTTTATAGTAAATATGGTCACGGAAGACTAAGGTTTTTGTCAATACCTCATTGTTATTGCAACTAACAACCACTTTTTTTTTTAAACGTTGGGTAATGCATTTACGCACGAGGTGTGGGACTCACCGGCGAAGCCAGTACTACCCACTAAAACCTAACAAAGCCTTCCCCCGTCTTAATGGGGTGTCGCAGGATCGCTTACGCATTCAACTACGGCGCCCCGACGGCAGGTCTGCCGAAGCAGACCACCACAACCATGGGGTTGCTCCAAGGT